CTTTTCTTACGACTCAACGTAGGTTTCTTGTGGTATGGATGACACTTTGTGCATCCCCCACCTTTGTAGTACGAAACCCCGACAAAAAGACGTTTTCCCTGGTCCTGCTGACTAGCCACATTTCCTTTCTTACTTACCCGGTACAACATAGCACTCTAAAACTCACTGTTGGAGGAAGGTAGTCGTTCCCGTAACTTCTACTTTGCACGACCCAGAAAGTCGTACTGTTACTAGGGTTTGGTGGGCGGCGCCCGTTGTTTCCTCACCGAAGCATCTTCGTAAAGTTCCAGGACTCACGCGGATCGGTCAGCAGGGTCTAGAGTTGGGTAGCTTTTAGAAAACCCTCCCTCAACTTTCAGACACAACGGTCGCTGTCGGGGTTTTGTAGTGACGTGAACGTCTGTACGAAGAAGCAAATAAAGTGTACGAAACCGTCGATCGCGCACGTACTCTCTCTCCCCTCGGTGACCATATTTATTTCCGATGTTTGTTTGTTTTGTTTGAATCCTCGCGCGTACTCTCCCCACCCGGACGTCCCGTGCCGACGTCCCTCACTTCTTTATCGCGACCTTGTGTGTGTGTCCTTTATACCGAGAATAATTTTGTTACAGTAAGAATTTATATGGCTATGATTACTTTGCCTCCTTAACATTCCAAAAATTGCCGCCTCCATAGCGCCATGGAAAGACTCATAGCCCATGTGTCACTTGTGATTGTCACACACGATTGTCCATTCCGGGTCCTTCGGACTAAGACGAGATTGTCCACCGTCCTCTCGTTCCAAATAAACTGACAATTTTGACGACACAACTTCCGAATGTTGAGCATTCGGAAGTTGTGTCGTCAAAATTGTCAGGAGTTCGTATAACGGCCTCAAGGTCCAGGACCCTCTTCAAGATCTCTGTCTGGGTACAACTCAAACGGTCCTAGACCATGAAAAAAAAATCGACTACCCCACGTTACGGGATTTACACCCTTACACATACGACGTAATACACTATACTAACACAACTGGTTATGTTTTTTAGACATGGGTCTTCTGACGACGTCTCGGGCGACGTGACCGACTACTGATACAAGACTATTGTCTCCCCCAGCCAGCTGAAAGTTCCAGGTCCTCCTTCCTTACATAGCACGTCGTCCATCTACCCTCCTCTTTCGAGTACGTGTGAACCCATAACGACTTGTGACGCTACGCTCCAGTCGGTGCCCACTGTGGTAGCCTTTAACATTGAAGACGACCCCCCCTCTCCCCGCCGACCTCCGACTGACAGGGTTTCGATTTCGATCGTCCCCCCTTATTACCCCCGGTCAAATTGAGACGACGAACGCGACCTCAACACTTTGGAAATGGACAGTAGGGAGGGACAGTCGCGCCAATTGCTCGGTACGTTCGACTCCCTTGGACTAAAAAAACGTTAACATAGTCTGCGACGCACAGTAACCACCCTTCATTGTAGTCGCACGGCCATTGTAAAACTCTCTGTGACGACGCAATACTAAGTATGTAAGACTCGAGACACAACGGCAAAAAGCCTGTCAAGACCTTGACCCTGAAACAGGCCTACGCTCAATACCCTTACTTACAACATGGACAGGGTGACGTAAGACAACACGAACTTGAGACCAAACCACGTCCCACTCCAGTAGTACCCCCCAGGCATGATGCATGACGTCTAACTTCCACACCTACATTAGGAAGCTTGCCGGACCGACCGGCAGCACACACGCGACTACCCCGAGGTGGGTGGAAAACACTGAAAATAGTGGGTGACACTGACAAATTGGGTCTCCTTTTACGATTCACGAAGGGACTTCACACACATCGAACCACAACCTGTGCCCGATACCCGACCCAACGTGACCTCCTTAGTCTCTTCCCACTTCTCCACTCACTCTACCTAGGACATCAACAAGGACTTGAGCCAATATAGACACACCAGCGTCACTCAATCACTACCTCGTCTCTCGACTAGGCAGAGAGTCAGTCATTAAACTACACTAAAGAGAGGTGGCCCTACCTTTATCCGTTGTGACCCCGATAGACGACGTTCGCAACGGTCTCACGCGTCCGTCCTTCACCCTGGCCAGTCTCGTAGGCCCGGGTAGGGGTTTTATTTGATTAAACGTCTGGGATAGGGTACACGTCTAGTTGAGTTTTTAGCAAAAAGTTCTATTTTGGTTTCATCTGACCATATGACATTCTCCCAATCCTCTTCTGGATCATCTAAATGCTCTCTAGCAAACTTCAGACGGGCCTGGACATGTACTGGCTTAAGCAGGGGGACACGTCTGGCACTGCAGGATTTGAGTCCCTGGCGGCGTAGTGTGTTACTGATGGTAGCCTTTGTTACTTTGGTCCTAAAAATCAGACAATGTGATTTTCTGGATTTTTTCTCATTTTGTCTCTCATAGTTGAGGTATACCTAGGATGAAAATTACACGCCTCTCTCATCTTTTTAAGTGGGAGAACTTGCATAATTGGTGGCTGACTAAATACTTTTTCCCCCTACTGTATATATATCAAGCTGTGCATCTGAACGCGTCTTCAGCACTTCTGGAAACATCTGCAGTCCTAGGCGTTCTAGACTGACAGTATAGTTAGGCCTTGGTAGGCCAGGCTCAGCCGGGTTTGACACGGCACGCTTAAACCGTGCTACGCGCTGCAGTGGAAATGCGCCATTAGAAACCAATTTTCTTGGCCAAAAATCTTAACAAGGCAAAGGAACTGAATAAAAAATGAAAAATAGCCTGCCAGGTTTGGCAAGGTTTAGTCTGAGTAGTGACATAATCAAGCCAGTTATGCTGCTAAATGGTAGGGCTTTTAATGTTCTATTTTTTGTCGGAGACCTCATTGTGTTTAATATACAAATCTATTTTGACTAAAAAGTTGTTTGAGATGATGCTTAATTTGAGTTAATACTGATTCTTGTCATTTATTTTATTGATTGTTTTCATTGTTTAAAAGTTTGTGTTATGACTGGGAAAACAATTCTGGTGTTAGAATGAATTATCTGCACAATAATTACATTTAGGACCGTTTCCCTTTTTTAAGAAAAGTATCGAAAAACCCAATTCTTGACTTAGTATCGGTATCGAAACCAAAATGTTGGTATCGTGACAACACTACACACTGTAACAATAAGGTACTATCAACATCAGACCACTCTCTGCTTTCAGCCACACGCTCAAATAGGGAGAAAAGGGTATCTGGATCTCGTTCACTAAACTGAGGAACAACCCGCAGATTAATGGCATCGTCAAACGGAGTATTCGCTCTACCAGAGAAACCAAAGGCACGGCTAGCACCTCCAGCAGTTCAATTCAACCTCCGCTCCTCTAACTCATTCCTTTTAATTTCTACCTCTCCCCTCTTTTTTTCCACTGCCAGTTTCTCAATTTCTGTCTGCAACAGCAACAACTGCTTTATCTGCTCAAAAGTCAGGCCTGCATCACGGCAGCCAGACACATCAACACTGTCCCTTCTAGTATCCACAGTATACATTTTATTTTCAAACAGCCCCAAATCCGTCAGAATGAAAGTCAGGATGAAAAAAAAGTAAGGATTTCAACAAAAAAAAATACTTTAATGAAAAGTAGAAATTCGTAGGTTTTCTGTAAAGGCCAGATTGTACAGATTTATAAAAAATTCAGCATTTGGGGAAAAAGTCAGGATTTTGAGAAAATTATTCAGAATTTTGTGGTTTAAAAAACAAGTCAAAATTCTGTAGTCATCTGAAAAGGCCAGCATTTAGACATTTTCTGAAGAATTCATCATTTTAGAAAAATTCAAAATTTGCAGAAAAAAGCAAGAATTTTGGGGAAAAGTCAGAATTTTGAGAAAAAAGATTCTATGTATTGTCAAGAGGAAGATGAGGCACACAAACCCAACAATGCAGACGAGCTGAAGGCCGCTAGTGAAGCAACCTGGGCTTCCATCACACCTCAGCAGTGCCGCTCATTATTCTGAGTTTCCAAGAAAAAAAGTCAGAATTCTGAGAAACAAAGTCAGGATGTTGAGATTTTCTTAAAAAAACGCCGCATTGATGCAAGTTATTCATGCTAAAGGAGGTCCAACCAAGTACTGACAGCAGGAACATTAACATACTTTTCAGAAGGCCAGCACTTCTATATTAGGACATCTCTTTTGTATTGGTCTTATGTATTATTAAAATGTTCCGAGATGCTATTCCAATTTATTGAGGTGCACCTGTATGAGTCCAAGTACAGGTTTAGCAAGGCGGTGAGAGATGCTAAACTACTAGTCTGAGAAACTCCAACACCAGTTCTCAGCTAACAACTCTACAGACAGGTCACAAACTGTTGACGCTCCCATCTTAGGGTAGGAATACCGTGAACATAGTTTACAACATGACAAAAGAGTAAATACACACAAACTGTCAGCGTGTATTCCACCGGAAGTTACACCTTTATTTCGCATGTCCATTTTATCATGGCAATACAGGAAGTGACTTTTAGTATAAGAGTATAAAATAAACAGATTTATATCGAATGATTCAACGTGAACGGCCGATGCCTTGCTAACCGGCAGTGTTACTACATTTTAGATCAGCTACAGTACTGACACTCTCCAGGGCATTTGGGAAAAAAGGTGTAATTGACAGACTATTGAGCCAAAAGCAATACAAAGTGGGCGGGACATAGAAAAACAATAGGCAAGCATGTAAAATAAGGCGTGGATAATTCTGATACTCTAGAGTTTCTCTGAATATGTATTTCCTGTTTGCTGCAGGCGTCCAGCTGGTGGTTGAAGAAGAGGTTCCCCCTGAGCAGCAGGAATGGAGCTCCAGTCTGGACCAGGAGGACCCAGAGCCCCCCCCATACATTAAAGAGGAACAGGAGGAACTCAGGAGCAGTCAGGAGGGAGAGCAGCTTCAAGGGCTGGAGGAGGCTGATATCACCAAGTCCACATTCACTCCTGTCCCTGTGAAGAGTGAAGATGATGAAGAGAAACCTCAGTCTTCTCAGCTTCATCAAAGACAAACTGAACACCTGGAAACAGAAGCTGATGGAGAGGACTGTGGAGGACCAGAACCAGCCAGGAACTCAGATCCAGAGAGACATTTACAACCAGAGACTGAGGACAACCCTGGAGACTCTTCTGAACCTGAGACTGGAGACTCTTCTGAACCTGACACTGAAGACAGGGCTGATTGGAAGGAGACCAGAGAACCAGATTCAAACTCTCAGAGAAATAAACAATACCCTGTCAGTGATTCAAGACGTAGTACAGGAGAGAAAAAATGTGGCTGCTCAGTCTGTAAGAAAACCTTTAAACACAGAAGAAGTTTAAAGAGACACATGAGAATCCACACCGGAGAGAAACCATTCAGCTGCTCAGTCTGTAAGAAATATTTTACACAGAGAGGACATTTTAAGGACCACATGAGAATCCACACAGGAGAGAAACCATTCAGCTGCTCAGTCTGTGAGAAAACATTTGCATGGAAAGGATACTTAAATCTGCACATGAGAATCCACACAGGAGTGAAACCATTCATCTGCTCAATTTGTAAGAAATCTTTTGCAGTGACAGGAAGTTTAAAGGACCATATTAGAATCCATACAGGAGAGAAACCATATAGCTGCAGTATTTGTGACAAAAGATTCACCTGGAGTAGTCAGGTCAAAATCCATAAGTGTGTTGGTCGTCAGTCCTCACAGCTTCATCAAACTCAGACTGAGCAGAACAGAGAGGCAGAGCCTCCAGCTAGCAGCTCAGCTGAACACATGGAAACAGAAGCTGATGGAGAGGACTGTGGAGGACCAGAACCAGCCAGGAACTCAGATCCAGAGAGACATTTACAACCAGAGACTGAGGACAACCCTGGAAACTCTTCAGAACCTGACACTGTAATCAGAGATGACGATGATTTTTGGAAACGGAGCAGTGAACTCCTGTCAGATTTAAGCTTTTTGAAACACAGTTCTTTCCACAGTGGTGAAACATTCAATAGCAATCAACAGGGAGAGGAATCTTTTACGGAAGGTGGAAATCAAAACCAGCATATGCCGAACCAGGAGGTCCCAAAGCCCCCCCCACACATTAAAGAGGAACAGGAGGAACTCTGGAGCAGTCAGGAGGGAGAGCAGCTTCAAGGGCTGGAGGAGGCTGATATCACCGAGTTCACATTCAATCCTGACCCTGTGAAGAGTGAAGATGATGAAGAGAAACCTCAGTCCTCTCAGTTTCATCAAAGACAAACTGAACACATGGAAACAGAAGCTGATGTTGAGGACTGTGGAGGACCAGAACCAGCCAGGAACTCAGATCTAGAGACACATTTACAACCAGAGACTGAGGACAACCCTGGAGACTCTTCTGAACCTGACACTGAAGACAGTGCTGATTGGAAGGAGACCAGAGAACCAGGTTCAAGCTCTCAGAGAAATAAACAAAACTCTGTCAGTGATTCAAGACGTAGTGCAGGAGAGAAACCATTCATCTGCTCAGTCTGTGAGAGAACTTTGTAAGGACGGAGGACGTTTAAATCGGCACATGAAAATCCACACAGAAGAGAAATCATTCAGCTGCTCAGTCTGTAATAAATATTTTAAACACAGTGGAACTTTAAAGCAGCACTTGAGAAACCACACAGGAGAGAAACTATTTATCTGCTCAATTTGTAAGAAATCTTTTGCAGTGAGAGGACATTTAAAGGGCCACATGAGAATACACACGGGAGAGAAACCATTCAGCTGCAGTGTTTGTGAGAAAAGATTCACCTGGAGTCATTATGTCAAAAGACATAAGTGTGTTGGTCGTCAGCCCTCACAGCTTCATCAAACTCAAACTGAGGAGAACAGAGAGGCAGAGCCTCCAGCCAGCAGCTCAGCTGAACACCTGGAAACAGAAGTTGATGGAGAGGACTGTGGAGGACCAGAACCAGCCAGGAACTCAGATCCAGAGAGACATTTACAACCAAAGACTGAGGACAACCCTGGAGACTCTTCAGAACCTGAGACTGAAGACAGGGCTGATTGGAAGGAGACCAGAGAACCAGGTTCAAACTCTCATTGAAATAAACAAGACCCTGTCAGTGATTCAAGACGTAGTGCAGGAGAGAAACCATTCAGCTTCTCAGTCCGTAAGAAATAATTTTTACTCAAAATGCTGACCTTTTTCTAAAATACAAAATGTTTCAGAAAATCTCTAAATTCTGACCTTTGCAGAAAGCCTCAACATTTTGACTTTTTCTTAAAATCAATACATGCCGACGTATTTTCTCAAAATTCAGACACATTTCCTCAAAACTCCACCTTTTTGAAAAAGTCAGCATTTTGGGAAAAAGTAAGAATTGGAAAAAAATGTATTGAGAAATGGAGAGAAAAGTCAGTTTTGATTTTTTTTTTAAAGTCAAAACTCAGAGGTTTTCTGCAAAAGCTAGAATTTAGAGATTTTCTGAAAATGCTTTCGTTTTAGAAAAAGGTCAGCATTTGTAGAATTATTATTGTAGAGATTCTATGTATTGTCGAAAGGAAGGTGAGGCACACGAGACCCAACAATGCAGAAGAGCTGAAGGCCGCTAGTGAAGCAACCTGGGCTTCCATCACACCTCAGCAGTGCCGCAGGCTGATAGTCTCCATGCCACGCCGCATTGATGCAGCTATTCATGCTAAAGGAGGTCTAACCATGTACTGACAGCAGGAACATTAACATACTTGTCAGAAGGCCAGCACTTCTGTATAAACAAAGTGGGCGGAACTTAGCAAAACCATCGGCAAGCATTTAAAATAAGGAATGGATAAGGGCTGCAAAGTTAATGAATTGTTCATTATGGTTAGATTTTAAATTCTAATATTCTACAGTTTCTCTGAATATGTGTTTCCTGTTTCCTGCAGACGTCCAGCAGCTGGTGGTGGTTAAAGAAGAGGTTCCCCCTGAGCAGCAGGAGTGGAGCTCCATTCTGGACCAGGAGTACCCAGAGCCCCCCCCACACATTAAAGAGGAACAGGAGGAACTCTGGAGCAGTCAGGAGGGAGAGCAGCTTCAAGAGCTGGAGGAGGCTGATATCACCAAGTTCACATTCACTCCTGTCCCTGTGAAGAGTGAAGATGATGAAGAGAAACCTCAGTCCTCTCAGCTTCATCAAAGACAAACTGAACACCTCGAAACAGAAGCTGATGGAGAGAACTGTGGAGGACCAGAACCAGCCAGGAACTCAGATCCAGAGAGACATTTACAACCAGAGACTGAGGACAACAACAAGGATGACATATTCTGTTCATTTTCAGGTTGGTATTAGTATGTTTTCTTCACTGGGACATGTCTCCATGCTTTAATATTGAAAAAGCTCTTTATTTTTGTCATACTAGCTCGTTTCACCCTCTGTCTGAAACCAGAGCCCAGTCTGATCTGAATGGTTAGCTGGCCGGCTCTGTTGTGATTGGTCGACCAACAAAAAAAAGTTACACAATTTACAAAATACTTGTAATGCTTGTTCAACGCCAGATAGAACACTCTGCAGTGTTTCCCCTAGGATGGAGTCATAGCAGCAGTGCTAAGGCACGTTGGCCCAGCATAATGTGAGAGCGGAGCGCGTGGATTTTTTTCGTGTGTGCGCGTGCAAAGTGCGCCCCGCCAATTTGTTTCTATGTGTCAGCACAAGAAAGGCTCTTAAGGCCTAGTACCAGGGCCGGTTTTAGACAATTTGCTGCCCTAGGTGAGATTTTAGGCGAGATTTTATGTGTAAGAAATAAATGAAAAATCTCACTGCAAAAACAGAAACTTATTGACATAGGTAATAGACGTCAAAATGGCTTCAAATGTATTCAGTATTGTATGAACATGTTTGAATTGTGGGGTGGACGTCACATCCTCTAGGAGGGTCCGGGGGTATGTCCCCCCGGGAAGATATTTTTTTGAACATTTTACAGTAAAATGCTTCAATCTGGTGCACTTTGAGCACACAATTACTAGAGACCTGATCTAGGGGGTACAACTCTAAAACACCCATATGAAAAAGATTGGTTTACATTTTAATAATCAAATAAGTATGTGAACATAACCAATAACCTACCATAGCCAATAACAAATACATGTAGCTTATTTTATTTTTGTTGTTCATTCATATCTTATTTTACCTAGTTAACATTTATTTATTTATGCATATTTTTGTATCTCTCCAACTTTAAACGATATTTTTGGTTAACTGTCCTATAGTATACATTGGAATGATTTCAAACCTGTTTTTATTTATCCTAATAATTATAAAGGAGTGCCTTGGAAATATGTGTTTACATAATTTGTGGTCAAAACGTTTGAGACCCACTGAGAAAACTTAGACTAAAATGAACTATCTAAACACTCAGAGTCCTTTACCTCACTGAGCCTCTCAGTCTGACAGGGAGCTCTCCTCCACCCTGGTTGTAGAAACATCTACTTCTTATATCCGTTAGCGCAGCTAGCACCAGATTCTAATAACAACAGCGCCGGTACCGGTGCGCCGAATGTGATGGGTCGTTAGCG